GAGCCCTGCGGAACCCCACTGCCCACATCCCTCCAGGTTGAAAATGACCCATCCATCACCACTCTCTGGGTGTGGCCCTCCAGCCAGTTGGCGACCCATTTGACTGTGTGGGTGTCGACACCACAGCTGCCCCAGTTTCTTAATGAGAGCGGGGTGAGAGACGGTGTCAAAGGCTTCCAAAAGTCCAGAAAGACTATGTCCACTGCTGCCCCTGCATCTAAGGCTTTTGTGACCTGGTTGTAGAAGGCCACCAGGTTGGTCTGACAGGACCTGCCTCTAATGAACCCATGTTGGTTGCCTCTAAGCATAATCTCCCCCGCTGGCCCCTCGTGGCCATGTGCCAGAATAATTCTCTCCAAAACTTACCTAGGATTGAGGTAAGACTAACTGGCCTATAGTTTCCCGGGTCCTCCTTCCTCCCTTTTTTGAAGATGGGAACCACGTTGGCCCTCTTCCAGTCCTCTGGCACCACACCAGAGCACCACGAGTGCTCGTAAAGCCGTGCCAGGGGTCCCACAATGACCTCAGCTAATTACCTCAGCACTCTGGGGTGGAGATCATGCTGAAGTCCCAGTCCTTCTTTATTTCTATATCTTAAGAAAGTGCTCAAGGACGTCTTTGAGTAATTGTCCACATTTAACCAGAAGAAATAAAGTGAGAAAAATGCTTTGGTTAGCCATTGCTTTTGGGTTCATATGTTCATTGGGCCTTAGTAGAGAAAAATGAAACTGGCATGTTAATATGAAAAACAGAATTGTAACAGGTTCACTGATTAAAGGTATTTTTCCTCCCCACTCAGGAAAGGCATAGCAACCCATATGTTAAAATGGAATGCTGTGTACCGGAATTGACTGTCATACCAGCTTCCTTTTACATGATTAGCTATTAAGAGGCTATAATGCTACTAGAACAGCTCTTAAGAAAAAAAATGGCTCCTCCTTCCCTACTAGTGAGAATAAACTCTGATTGGATGCATCTACATGTGCAATTAATGTGATGCAATAAACTTGAGCAGTTTGAGCTGGAGTCAACTATTCGCGGGTGCAGCATCTACATGTGTGCCTGGGAGAGCAGCAATTTGAGCCAGGGCAGAGCAAGCCCCCACTGGCTGGGCTGACTGGGCGCAGTCTATGCCTGCAGTCAGCATCTATGCATGCATTTTGGTGCAGTAAAGTACTCCACTGTAAGATAGTACTGACCCTGACTGTACTATCCTATGGCAGAGTTAATTAGTTTACTGTGCTCTTATACTGGTGCATGTGTAGACTGTGACGCTTTACTGTGGAGCTAAGAAGTCTACTTGGCTGTAAAATGCATGTGTAGATTCACCCGTGGTATTCATTAAACTTGATTGTGTTTATTTAGCTCTACTTCTGTTTTCTTGCAGTCTAAGCTCTGGTTTGTGTGACAGTCATATTGAAACAAGTGTCTCTTAGGCACATGGCTAACAATAGTTTAGGCCAGGGGTAGGCAACCTCTGGCGCACATACCAGAGCATGAAATGTGAAGGCATTTTGCTTGACACTCGTGCCTTGGGGAATGGGCTGGGGCTGCGCTGCCGTAACAAGGTTCGACCTCTCACGGCTCCTCCACTGCCTGCCCCTGACATGTCAACATCTTACAAGTCAAGGTTGCTTGTGTTTTGGGTACTCTGCCCAAAAACACTGCTGACTCCTGGCTTAGGCACTTTGTTGTATCAGGGCCTAAACAGAAAATAGTCATTTTTGTACTTTCAGGAAAAGATTTCAGTTGCATATGCTTCTGAACATGCTTCTGTTTTGTAATAGGTTTTGCACATGAGAATGACTTGGAAAATGAAGTAGAGAATGAAAAGGAGGCTTTCGCAGAACTTCGCAATAAAAAGTCAAGAAGAAGACAAAAATATAGAAGACGATAATTGGAAAAATATGCAGCTGGCTGTACTGCCCTATACCACTGTCATTTTGGAATGAATTGCTTAAATATACTTCATATAAAAAGGGAGGGATCAGGAAAGGAGAGAATGTAAAAAAAATACCAGCTATTTTTTTTAACTTTTTGTATTGTTTTTGTTAATCTATTGTAGGAGAACAGATTGTTTTATAAGTTTTTCTTACTATTTTAAAACTAAACTCTGCCTGACACTTGCCCTGGCAGAGTTAACTTGGTAACTCAGAAGCAACAAAAGAAGTCCAAAGAGGTCCTTATTAATTAGAAATGAGCAGGTAGGAAAAAATTACCAGTTCAGTAGTATGACAGAGCTATACTGCTCATGAGAAGGAAGGCCGCTTCTCTGATTCTAAGACGACTTTAAATTGGGGGTCAGGGGTGGACTTTAAAGGGCAGCTTGTCCATGCCTGACATGGCTCCAAATAACTGTTATGAACTTAGCTATGGAGCCTTTTTGGGTTGGGGGATCCTTGATTCTACATGTGGGAGATCCTTGATTCTACATTCTCCTTTCTATTTAATTCCAGAGACTGTAATAGTGAGTACAGAGTTGTGTTTGTGTCTATCAGTGTTGTAAATATCCCTAGTTTGAAATGGACATGAAGTTCCCCTCTTTTGGTTGTCATTCTGGGTTTGATATAAATTGTTTTCTAAAGTACTGAAGTCGTACATCATAATTCTTTTAATGTTAAAGATTGCTTATGCAATTTTACTTGTTTTATAAACTCAAATTGCCAAAAAAAATCTTGTAATGCATAATAATATTTTATAAAGTCTGAAATATTACTGTAAAAACTTGCTCTTCTCTCATTTATTTTTAAGTGTGAAAGCCATATGTGATTGCTCAGTTGAGTAAGGGCTGCAAGGTTTGATTCAAAGTATAGGTTACAGAGTGGTGCGTTCTGACACTTGTACTTCCAGGCTGTCAGCCTCAGCCTACATTTTATATACTTTCTTGATTTATTTTTAGTGTTTTGAGGAATGTGTATGACACAACACAACACACACAATATTTGATGTGCTGAGAAATTTTAGCGTTGAAAAGTTAACTATCTTATGTACATATATTAAAATACGTTTTAATAGTTGCACAGTAGCTGAGAACTTCTTTAAGCTAGTAAGTGTCTATTCTGGAAATCGGATACATTATTTTGACAGAAGCAAAAACTTTTATCTGGATCTCTGTAATCTGGACAGTAGGGGTGTGCAAAGCAGGCAGTATTCAATTCGGATTCAGCCCAATTCAAGGGACAGTGATTCTATTTGCTGATTCGGATCACTGTCCCGATTTGATTCGGCTAAATCTGAAGACTTGATTTTGATTCAGAGAATCGGCAATTAGGCCATAGACACAGCTTTCTATGTTTCTTCTACATACCTCCAAGGTACCAGGCATGGCTCATGAACACTGATATGGTGGGGTGAATGGAGTGTCCCACAGGAGTGGGGGGGAGCCCATATGTTCAGTGGTGGACCTGGAAGGGTACACTTCCGGGTCCACCACCATGCACTTGGGGGACCCCACGCTGCCACAGCTTGGTGATTGGCCACAGGGGAACCCTGGGTGCCCCCCTGACCCAGGAGGCACCAGTCGCTGAGTCAGGGGCGGAGGGTGGGAGGGGGGTGTCCCCCACACAATCTTCAGTGGACCCGGAAGTGGACCAAAAGTACTTCTGGTCCAATTCTGGGTCCACTGCCAAGTGCACGGGGGATCCCCCCACGCTCCCATGGGATGTTCCATCCGCCCCACCATCTCAGCATTCACAAGCTGCGCCTGGTACCTTGAGGTATGTAGAAAAAACATATAAAGCTGTGTCTCTGGCCAAATCATCGACTCTCTCCAAATCGAATAGGAGGCTTCCAATTCGATTCCGAGAGATTAACGGGTTTCCTGATTCAATTCAGATGTGGAGATTTGGCCACCGAATCTCCTCCAAATCAAATCAGCAGCCAAAGCTTCACACAGCCATACTGGACAATCATAATAACCCTCTATTAAATACTAACTGTTGTTGCTCCCCACAGGGTGGTGGTGGGGAATGTCACCAGCTGATAGATATTTAATGCCCTCTGGGAACTGAGTGGATTGGTCTTGTGGATTTTATAGGAGGCAGGTGTTCATAGTCTATAAAATACTAGGGTAACTTAATTTAATTGTCATAAAAATTGGGCTGGAGGGAACATCAGGAGATAGTGTAGTCTAACTCCTGGCTTAAGGCAGGAACACCTGTCAAACAATTTCATTCAAATGTTTAACTTGCTCTTAAAACTTTTTCAAGGATGGAGATTCCACAACCTCTTTGGTAGCATCTCTAATGCTTAATCACCAGGGATCTAGGTTTTCTGTTTCCCATGGGAAAAAAAGTAGATTTTCTCCTTTTAAAGGGATAGAATTCCAGCCTGCAAGGAGCTACTTGAGGCTGAGGGGAGACCATTTGGAGGCAGGGGGAACTACTTGTGTGTGCACGTGCGTGCACACGTGGTCAGCAATCCAGCCAGGCAGGGTAGTGAGAGCAGCCCCGGCAGCTGGATAACAGTAAGTCTATGGGCGGGGACAGGGGTTGGAGGACATAGCAATGTTGGAGGCATCTGTTTGCACTATGAAGGGTTTCTTGAAGTCTGGGCATGTATCAGCAGTCTCAAACATGAGGCTTCTTTGACGTGTTGGAAAGCCATGTCTGCTCTGCCATCTGTCTCACCCCATCGGGGCAGCTGCTCTGGTCAGTTCTGTCATTGTTGTGGTTAGTTTTGAGAATGTGAATGTCCCTCACTGCAGAAATTGGCACATGCAGATAGTCCTGTCCTTCAGGAGGCTCACCAGAGAATTCCTCCACTTCCTGTGATTTCCCACATGATCTCTTGACTTAGCATTTGTCTAATTTCTTCTCCTTCCTACTCCTGTAACCATTGCAGAATCCATCTCCAATTCTCCTGCACAATCCTCCGTGGCGGTGTTTCTATATAGTGTTTGATAAGCCCCAGTGTCTTCTGTAAACACATTTAGATACTTGGTCTCTTTGGGCATTTTTACAAATGCAAGTGCTGGGCTCTTTGAAAACCTCCTGGCACTATGACGCTTACAGTTGTATAAGTGGCAAAAAGCGTGTCAGCACTGACAAAATGGCAGTGGCGTGCTTTTGAGCTTTAGTGCTTTAGTTCAAAAGTGCACCACTGACATTTTCTGCATGCTGACATGCATTTCACCACTTATGCAACTGCATGTGATGCAGCGCAGCGCAGCTCGCATCAGCTCAAGTCTGCTCCAAAGTGGTGGATCTCCAGTATGTTGTGGGACCAAAAAGTATGTGTATAAATGTCCTATCTATCTTAACTGGGCCTATTTCACATCTGTTAGTTATTCGTTCATAAGCATGGCATATATGTCGTCCTCCTTTATTTGGGGTCCCAATTCAAGCCAGTCCGAATATGATGTCATGAGCAGGATTTCACGTTCTTGCCACTGCTTCAACAGGTTTGTGGTATGCCTAGTGCAACCTCTGCCTGCCTGGTTCTTTGATCCTATAGTCTACAGGCCCTGCTTTTTTAGTTATCTCGAACAAAGCCTGTCAACAGGCCAACAGCTTTGATGTCTTATTGGGAAGCAGGACCAACACCTGGTCTCCCATGTCAAATTGACGTTCCCATGCCTGCCAGTTATATATGCTTGCTTGCTTCCCTTGCACCTTTTGCAGGTTTTCTTGGGCCAAGTTTCCACTATCAACTGTTTTCTGAGCTGCAGTATGCGTTTAAATGGGCTCCCTGCCAGCACCTGTTGCTCCTCCCAGCCTTCCTTTGTGAGATCCAGCATGCCCTGGGGTGACATCTGTATAATAGCTCAAAGGGTACTTCTCAATATGCGAAGATCAGTGAGAGTAGTAACTGGTCCTAGTGTCTGGGATCATTGTATATCATTTTCCTCCTCAGCCCCTTGAGGGTGCAGTTATACTTCTCAAGTCACCTGTCAGTTTGCAGATGTTATACCGATGTTCATAGTTCAGTTATGTGTAATGTGTTGCACACGTCCTGCAGCACCCTTGACATGATATTGTTGCCCTAGTCCAGCAATATCTCTTTGGGTGGTCCTACCTGAGAGAACATCTTTATCAGCTCCTCAGCTATTTTCTGGTCTGTGATGGACTCCAGAGGGATCACCTTGAAATATCGGGCTGGCATAGTTTACTGGTACCAATGTAGACTGGCCGACCATGCTTTTCTCCAATGGGCCTGTTATATCCACAGCCATTTGCTCAAAGAGCTCCTCCATAAGGGCCTTGGGTAGTAGGGGGGGCCTTCTGGGCTTCTCTGGGACCACCACCTGGCAGTTGGGGCATGAATCACAAAATGCCTGCACTTCATGCTTTATCCCCAGCCAAAAATTACTGGTGAAGCAACCTGTTCCTAGTTTTGTCTGCTCCCAGATGACCCCTAGTGGGAAGCTCATGGGCTACCTTACCAGTGCCCATCCCATTGGGCCCTCTCCTTACCTTAAACCATGGGTATATGTTCACGAGGTCAGGATACAACACCGCTTTGCAGCATGTGATGTTACCCTCAGCTCCACAATATCACCAATGTTGATGTTATGTTCTTCCTTCGCAGTCGGTTCATCCACAGGGGTGTCTCTGGTATATTGTCCCACTAGTTCTTCACCTTGGATGTGGGGCCTCTCCTCTCCCTGATGAGGTTCCCGACCCCCCTTTTGCAGCATCACTATCAGCAATTTGGTGAACCAGGACCAGTCTCTGCCCAGTAACACTGGGTAGGGGAGCCAAGGTGCCACACATGCCTGTAAGGCATGTGTGCACCCTGCCACTGTCAGCTGTACCACAGTACTGACATACTTGTTTGCTTCCCCATGTAGGTAAATAAGGGTGCAAGCCTTTGTCTTCCCCCTCTGCCTCTCAGGTACCAGGTCCTTCTTAAAGAGGGTTTGCTTGCAATCTGAGTCCATCAGGGCTGGTAGCAGCTCTATCTATAATTGACTGCCTTCTCTGCCCTCGCCAGTAACGGGTAGGGGTTCCCTGTTGCGTGTCTCTATTAGATACTGTATTCCTTCAAATATAAAATGCCCTTAAGTTTAAGTTGCACAT